GATGTCCTGTGCAGGATAAAGATTAATGACTCAGTTGGAAAGTAACCATAGAAAAAGCTCCCAGTGGAAAGGGTTCCAGAAAAATCAGAATTTCCTCAAAGAGGTTAATTAGTGTAATAGTATTATAGGATGTTTAGCATGTCTCTGGCTTCTACCTGTCAGATGCCAGCAGTATCCCCCTTTCGCACAGCTGTGGTAACCAGCAACCTGTCCACACACTGTCAAATGATCTCTGCGAGGCAGGAAGGCAAAATCACCCTTGTTGGATACCACTGCCCTAAAGGATCAATTTTCTCCCTAAGTTGGGCAGGATCTTTTCCATTCCTTGGTGGTAGCATGGTCTACCCTACCCATTCCTGTTCCCACTCTAAAAAAACTACACAAGAGAGGGAAGCTTACAAGCTCATCAACATAAAAAAGAATGAGAATTCCATTTTTTCATTATAATACTCAAAGCAGAGAGATATAAATCATGAAAATCTGAAATGAACCTTTTCCTTCAGGATATTTTTATCCTTTGATAATTACAAAATCTGTGACCCCCATCTGTATTACCAGAACTATCTTATTCTCTGTCCACTACACAAGACTAGTGTCAAGAAGAAATGTCTACACTGCTATATTCAAAATGGATAACCAATGAGGATCTATTGTATAGCACATGGAACTCTATTCAATGTTATATTCCAGTCTGGATGGAAGAGAGGTTTGGAGGAGAATGGATACACGTGTACATAAGGCTGAATCCCTTCGCTATTCACTTGAAACTACCACAACGTTGTTAATTGGATATATCCCAATACAAAATTAAAAGTTTAAAGAAAAAAGGGGGGCTGATAAGATTCAGAAAGATGTCTCCAATTTAATCAATGCTTATGTGAGTGAACCAAGAAAGGCATTCAGTTCAGTTCAGTTCAGTTCAGTCACTCAGGCACGTCCAATTCTTTGCAACCCCATGGACTGCAGCACGCCAGGCTGTCCTGTCCATCACCAACTCTTAGTTGAGATAAATAATCAAGACACTTTGCTATGCATCAAAATTAAGTTATTTTTATAATCAGAGAGATAAAAGAATGGACTGCTAACATCTTGACTTGTACAAACCAAACTCTTTTCCTTCCCTTCCCTCTGTGTTTTCTTTCCTTCTTTCTTCTCTCCCTTCTTTTTTTCCTCCCTCCATTTCTTCCTCCCTTCTTTACTTTCTCTTTTCTTGTAGGTAGACCCATGTTTCTCTCCAGAATAGAAAAGAATATGAGGACAGAGATTATGAAGTATTAACCACGAAAGAAACCCTCACTGGAAGGAAAATTATATTTATGAGTTTACAAGCATTTTAAAGTGCAGCATCAACACTTTATCAAGAATATAAAATGTGCAAATGGTGCAACTGAGTCGCAAATGGTGCAACTGAGTCATCAATGAAACTGCAAAACAGAGTCAGAGGCCCAGAAAGTGACAATTTCTATTTCTCTTGACTTCTGATCATTACTATAAGATCTGTAGGGAAAAAAATTCCTTTTAGAGTTGAAGTTAATGAGGTGAAACAATCTATAGAAAGGCAGTTTAGCTACTGAACATTATAAATTCAATCATGCAATTCTAGATAAAATACAAATCTTTTCTCCTTACTTGTTTTTGTGTGGTTACAAATTGAACAAATGGTGAACAACATAAGAACTAAGAATAAGAAGTCTTATCTCTGACCCCCTTTTGCCTTCCACTAACTGTATGACCAAAGGAAGGCAATTAATCTCTCTGAGCCTCAATTTCCTCATTTATGGAAGTTAGGAGATTGGACTAGATTATCCTCAAGAATTTTTCCATCTCTAAAATCTCATCATGAGGAAACTCTAACTCAAATTATCTGAAAGTGACAGAAAGAAAAACAAAACAAAACAATGTGCAATTCTACCAACTATGGAAGGTGAATACTCTGTATTGTACATAATTTCTATGCCAGAACTACAGGGTTATAAAAGCAAAAAAGGCTACTTTAATTGATCAAGGCCCTTGACTTTAAAGTAACGCATATTGCCTTGGATTCTCCTTTAAATTAGAATGTCTAAGATCTGTTTTCGGATAGAGTAAGCACGTTTGGGTGTCTGCTGGGTTCAGGGTCGACAATGTCACCTGTCACACTATGGCAGATGCTCTTCACTAGGAAACAGAGGCCGGGATACAGAAGCAAAACAAATTCAGAACTTCAAGAGCTCAGTCACAAACATCAGAGAAAAGCTCTGCAGTGGTGTCGACGTTTATTCTGGAAGGTCTACTCCTGCAAGTATGTGAATGTCTGTTTCTAAAATTCAGGGAAAATAAACCCGCATCTTCGCAGAGAAACAAAGTCCTACTCTGGTCTTAGGAGAGCTCTTGAAAAAGTACGACTGTGCTGCTTTCAGCCATGAGGCAAACCCACATCAGAGAGGAGTCATTTCTTCAAGTCTTCTGTACAGATGCTAATATGAAAGGGTGGAGTAAAAGATTCACAAAGGGAGAATTTTAAAATGCATTCCTTTACAGGAATCCTAAATATGTGCTGACCCCACATGGTAAAGCATAAAATGTTTTGCCAAAGATCATCTGACTCTGGAGGACAAAATAAAATTCACCCATATTCCCAAGAAAATCTAGCTTTTATGTATGGATGTAAATTCTCAAATTTACAGACCTATTCACGTGGTGGTAGTTTAGTCACTAAGTCGTGTCCGACTCTTGCGACCCCATGGACTGCAGCCGGCAAGCCTCCTCTGTCCATGGGATTCTTACTCATAGTAGACAGAAATTTCAGAGGCAAGAAAGTCTCTTTTAAATGGAAGCATAGAAATAGCTTGTTGGAAATGCTGGTGCATCAATAAAGAAACACATTCTAGTATCTGCCAGATCGTGAAATCCCTGGCTCTGGATCCTTAGGCAAAAAATCATGGCCTCGATAGCTTTTCCTAAGATGATTTCAACCTTCCTTGGTATCCCAACAAAGGGACACTTCATTTTTATCATTAGCTACTTTGAAATCTTAAGGGAAATTCTCCCTAAGTAGTCAAAAAAAAAAAAAAAGTAATTTGGGGGATTTTATTTGGAGAGAAAATATACTGGGAGAGGTAGCGCCAAAGAAGGAGATGCCCTGTAAAGGATGACAGCTGAACTAGCCCTAGGATTTACAGCCAACAGAGAGGCTCAGGATGGAAATGAACCTCTTGAAAATACCCTCCCCAAAGAAACACTCCTCATTCAACACTATGTCAAATTTTGTGCTGTGTATTCTTCCTTACTTATCTCTAACACGTTTTAAGATTGTGAGAAAGACAAAAAGGATCACTAGAAAGTACAAAAATGTACAAAGCTTTTTAAGTCTCTAATGACAAAAAATTAGCAGACTCCTTGAAAATTGCTAACACTGATTTTTAATGAGCATATCTTGAAATATCACTCTCTGAATAGTTTTATCTTAGACAGTTTTGTTATTTATTACATGGGAACTCAGACTTTACTGCTATTATCAATATTATAGCAAACTGTTTCTTTTATTCTTCATATATTTAATAAGACTTGTTCTTTTATATTCCCTTTTTTACGTTGAAAAATCTCTCTGTAGTACAGCATCAGGATACTTTGGCGCTCAGTGTGATTGTATTTTTTATAAAGAGAAAGTGCAGAATTGTTTCCATAATATGGAAATGCTTAGGACGAACTAACAAAAAAGCAAGAATCTGTAAATCCATTGGCAATTCTATATTAAATATATTTCTACCTTCAGAATATCTTTGGTTATTCTCCATAGATTAAGAAGGCACTTCCCATTACAATTTATTTTCATTGTTCTGTTTTATAGACACTATGAATTTAGAGGAAGGACCTTCCCTTTGCACTAACTAATAAACAGGATACCAAGTACAGATGGTCCTCACTTTCAATGGTCCAATAAATGATTTTTTTGACCTCATGGTGGTGTAAAAATGATATATATTAAGTAGTAAATAAACTTCTGAATTTGATCTTTTCCCAGGCTAGCTATATGCAGCATGAAACTTTTGTGATTCTGAGCAGCAGTAGAGAGCCAATGTAAACAACCAATACATTTATAGCCATGCTGTTTTTCACTTTCATCATAGTATTCAATAAATTACATGAGACAGTCAACACTTTATTATAAAAGAGGCTTTGTGTTAGTTTAATTTTCACACCTTTAGGATAATGTAAGTGTCCTGAACACATTTAAGGTAGGCTAGGCTAAGCTGTGATGTTTGAAGGCTTAGATGCATTAAATACATTAACAACTTAAGAAATTTTCAATTTATGCTGGGTTCATGCAGACATAACCACACTGCTAAGTCAAGAAAGATCTGGAGTATGCAGTATTATTACAGTAATGAAGACTTGGAAGAATACACATTAACAAAGGCAACATTTTTATTATAGATTTTGTATTTTTACCAGGAAGTATTATAGAGTCCTTCCCTGGAAACTTAGTGTTGTTTATATGCCCACCCAATAAAAATTACAAGTTGGAGGTAGAGTGAAAATGACAAGATACTTTTTATTAGTAAAAGCATATCTTCTTGATTTGATAGTTAATTCTGAATCTGTTCTAAGGAAAGAACTATCTCCTTGCTCTGGATAAGAAATTTGTATTATAAATGTAAAGATAAACTGAAGAATAAAATCACTATTATATAACTGTATACTTAAATAATATTTATACTCAACACTAATTTGAATTCTATGGCAAATCTGAGAAACAGCCCTTAAATAGTATTTTCTCTACATGACAGTCAACTTTTGAATAGAGAGATGATGACATAAATAATGTGAGAGGGAGGCGGGACGGGGGTCGGGATGAGGAACACACATGTAAATCCATGGCTGATTCATGTCAATGTATGGCAAAAACCACTACAGTATTGTAAAGTAATTTGCCTCCAACTAATAAAAATAAATGGAAAAAAAAATAAAAGTAAATTTAAGGCATGGGGTAATTTATTTCACAAATAGCTGGTATTTACCTGTGCATGAATAATCATCAATTCTGATGTATCCAGTTTTGCAGATGCACATGAAGGAACCCGGGGTGTTGACGCACATCGTGTTCTCACGACAGTAATGGCGCCCTTCGGCACACTCATCAATGTCTGTGAAGAAAAAGTAGGGCAAGGAGGTCAACCACGGCCAGTATTACAGAGTTCTTCTACAATTTTCTTTGGTGGTGAGAGGGCAAAAGTTACTAATTGAGAAGAATTTTTAAAATGTATTCAAAGTATCTCTTTTAATAGAAACCTTTGATGTTGAAATGACAGAAACTATAATATTTTTTCCTAACAGCTCTTGTTGGAGTTTAAAAGATGTCTTTTTATTTCAACTTGCATCATTCTAAAATATATTTCAAAATATTCAGCCCATTCATCTACCTTGGATAGAATGAGAAAATGAATCAGAACGTAGAGATTGGACTGCCTTAGGCTCTTAGAAGCTTCTATCACTGAGCGTACCATATATTACTTTTTGATTCACTGGCTATTCTGTACACTTGGGGAAGCTCTGAAAGAGGTAAATAAAATATTCAATAAACACCAGAACTTTAAAAGCTTCACTTAAAGATATGAAACCAACAACATGTAGTTTATTAGAGATATAGCTATCCCAGTAAGTGTTGAACAGAGATGAAATTACAGTGTAGAGCCTGATATAAATAAGAAGCTGTAAAACAGCAAAATAAGACAACATACTGAAGAAATTTCACAGTAATTCATATTCTAAGTATTGTTTTCTTGGAATTGCTTAATGTGTCTGAAGAAACTATTAATGCTCTAAGGATTTAGTGCAAAGTAATAATCTAATTTTGTTCTCTTATAATGAGGTTAAGGCTAAGGCTAGAGGTCACTATTCATTTATTCCCTCTTCCAGTGATATTTATGTTCCTCTTCCTTGTTCCAAGCATTGTTCTGGGGTTTATTGATGAAAACAGAAGGGCATGGGTAAGGTATGACGTGTCTTCAAGGATCTCCCGTCTAGAAGGAAAGTAGAGCAAAGAATCACAGTGAGTGTGGCATGCTGACAATAAAGAATGGCACAAGATGGTGGGCAAGGCCTGGGACAGGACCCTGAATCTCAGCCCAGCACTGCTGCTGCTAGGATGTTGGGGGAAGCCCCACATGCTTCTGTGAGAGAGGACTTATGAGTTCTTGGGAAAAATAATGCTTCACTGATCTGAGAAACTTTACAACTTAAAGAGCTTTATTAAAGCAGAGTATTTATGCTTTTCTCATGTGGCTCAGCTGGTAAAGAATCTGCCTGCAACGTGGGAGACCTGGGTTCGATTCCTGGGTTGGGAAGATCCCTGGGAGAAGGGAACAGCTACCTACTCCAGTATTCTGGCCTGGAGAATTCCATGGACAGTATATAGTCCATGGGGTCACAAACAGTCGGACATGACTGAGCAACTTTCACTCACTTTCACATAGATCATGAAGTTTCAAGCATTTATTAGCAATCACTAATCTGTCTGTCAAAAATAATAACTATATGCATACATGCTGTTTAGTTCACAATAGGCTGGACTTCACATGCAATTCCTCAAAGAACTCAAATAACCTGTTGAGGTAGATAGACTGAGCTTAACTATTACCTCCATTTTTCAGACGAGAGATCTGAGGCACAGAAAGGTTAAAAGACTTTCCTTAAGTCACAGAGATAATTAATTGGCAGATCAAAGCATATGAACCTAGGTCTTTTGAACTGCTCCGACCACAAGCTTTCTTAAGTCTGTATTATAATGAAAGAAACGTCTTAGTCTAGTCCACAGGTAAACTTTGCTGGTCATAACCTCCTGCCAGGGACTCTGATCCCTTGGATTCTGCCATATCTCACTGCATATTTCATGTATACTTCTGATTATTCTTTCTCTGACTCCAAGGAGCTCTTCTTCCTCTACCTGCCAGGTGAATGCTGGTGTCTCCTGGGATCTGTCTCTGACCTGTTTTCTCTCTCTCCACTCTGTGCAATTATATACATTGTTATGGCATCATGACCACATATGAAGTGACATTTCCTTAAAACATTTTATTTTATATTGGAGTAGAGCTGATTAACAATGCTGTATAGTTCCAGGTGGACCGCAGAGGGGCTCAGCCATACATATACACATATTCATTCTCCACCAAACCCGCTTCGATCCAGGCTGCCACATAACAGCGAGCAGAGTTTCCTGTGCTATACAGTAGGACCTTGTCACACACCAAGTTTTGAGTGAAGAAACTTTCAAGTGCAAAGCCATAATAAGCACTAGTACTAATTGGGAGGAATGTGAATTTTAACAATAAAACTGCTCCCATTTTATAGTTTCTCTCTGCATGGAACATAAAGCATTTTACAGGTATTTTATCATTATGTAGCACTCTTTATTAAGGGCCTTAATGCATTGATCAGGCAAGGTGCTTCTCCTACAGAAGTCTACTTTCTCAAATCCTGTGATAAAGCCACAAAATAACACTGACCTCATCTGTACTATTAAAAGAAATGGATCAATTATAGGAGAGAACTAGATGATCCAGTACTACAAAAGTCATGCCATTCACATAAACTCAACTATGCTTCCTGAGAGTGTCAAAAGAAGCAGCTGACACAGTCTCTCAGGCAGCTATATTTTACAGCTAGAGGACCACTGAATCATCTGGGCTAACCACTTATTTTACAGGTGAAAAAACTGAAGTTTAGAGAGACTCAATTCAACTTCTAAATGAAAGTCAACACAGTAAATTACAAGCAGCGTACAAAGCCCTTCCCAGTTTGGCCATTATCTTTCTGACTTTACATTCTATGACCTCACTCTTTCTTCATTCTGTGTTCTGGCCACATCGAGCTTTCAGTCATTTCTTGAAGGGGCCATGCTCTTTCATATTTAGGTGCTTTTGCACATGTCATTCTCCAGTCTCCTTCTCCCCCTATCAACACCTCAGTGGATCTTGTCTACCAATCGATTCATCCTTCAAGAATCTGTTTATCTCTCTGTGAAAACTTCCCTAATGAAGTAAAATGTTCCCTATGTAATACTCCCTTGGAACTTTGCAAATATTTCCATTAAAGATATATCCACTTTACCTTTATTAATTTTTGTAGGTTTCTTTTTTCTAATAAGTCAAACATATTCCTGAAGGGCAGGGATCATCTATTTGTGTTTCTTAACTCTGGCTACACATTATACTTAACTGAGATGCTTTTAAAAAACACTGGGTTTTGTGCTGACTTCCTAACTCTCACTCCAAATTCTTACTTAATTATCTGTAATGGAACACACACATAATATTATTTTTAATCTTCTCTTTGAAGAATTTAATGTAGGATGTAGGGTTCAGCAACATTTTTCAGTAAAGAACCAGATAGTAAACATTTTAGGCTTTGGAGGTCCATATGATCTCTATTGCAACTACTTAACTCCTGTTGTTGCAGCATGAAGACAACCATAGACAATACGTAAATGAGTGAGCCTGACAATGTTCCAATAAAGCTTTATTTATAAAATAAGAAAGTGAATCAGATTTGGCCCACAGGCCATAGCTTGATAACCCCTTGTTTAATGCATCAGAGTTAAGGATCACTCAGAAGAACCATGATGGCAAAGTAGCAGGGCATGAGGCGAACCTCCCCCAACAAACACATTAAAAATACATCTACATACAGGAATTTTCACAGTCAACTAGAAACTGGAGAAGATCTCTTACACAACCAAAGCTGCAGGAAAGCTCTCCACATAATGAGGTTGGACAGAAAAGAAAAAGAAAAAGGCGTTAGGACAGTACTGGCATCTCCGAGAAGATCTGGAAAGGACAGAAAGTCCACATGTAGCCCCTTGTCCAGGAGGACCCCTTTCCAGCTAAGAGGTCAGCTGGCACTAGAAGGGCCTGGACTTTGCTCATGAGGAGTGTGTACATGCTGGCTTGCTAGCAATCTTGGAGGAGAGAGACAGAACAGACGGCTGCCCCCTCACCACTGTCCCAAATGCCTGAAATGTGTGCCAGGCAGGGCTGCTAGCACCCCATGACTAGGTGTTAAATCCCAGTCAGAAGGGCACTTGGAGGGAACTCAGCCTAGCTGCACGGAGACAGCCCAGGGGCCCTGGGGAGCGGTTCAGGTGGACCCTTAAAGCCCACCGTCAGCACAGCATGCACGTGGCAGGTGTGGGGCTGGCACTGGCGCCACCATCAGTGCTCACAAAGGTGGCGCTGGGTCCAGTTGTGGCACACGGTGGGCTCACATATGAAGGGGGCAGGTCTGGCCTTGAAGCCCATCATAAGAGCTCATAGGGTGAGGAGAGGTCTGGTTGCAGTGGACTTTGTCAGGTGGCACCAGATAAACGCATGCCTTGAGTGGACAGCGCCTGGGGAGGAGTATATAGCACTCATTTCCAGATAGAGCCTTCTGGTTCCACCCATATCATCACACAGTTTGCAGCCAGATCTGGGGCACACAGGACCCGGGAGAGGTCTACCACAGAGGCAGTCAAGACTCCAGGAAGCAGCATAACCACCTTGATTCCTGAAGCCAGAGCATCCTATCCCCCAGCACCAACCTACTCCACACCACAGCCTAGAACTAGGTCTGGGGCAAAAAATGGAGAAAGGGATGCAACCTTGGGCTACTTCTGGGCAAAACCATGGATGCTTACATGGGCAGCACATAGGTTCACTGAGTCTCATACTTTACAGGTCACATCCTTTGGGACAGAGCAAACATTTAAGGCAACAAAGCAAACATTTAAGGCAACAAAGCCTTATTGAACCTGGTTCTCAGGGCTTCTACTCCAAAATCTGGGGAGCAGATCCTGCCCATGACAGGGCTCTGACGGCCACAGGGTAAAGAGGCTTGTCTAACATCATTGCAGTCTCTGGACACTGCAACATCAGTTACAACCCCTATCAAAGGGATAATGGCCAACATAACCTAAGAAAGGATGTGCTTGACATCCATATAAAAAAATAGCCCTTCCAACAAAAATACTGGAATAATGCAGCTTACACAGGGATGATCCCACAGGAAAATAACCCTTTTGGATCACAGTGGATAATGGTTTATCCTAAATTCATAGAAATACAGAAAGTTAAGCAAAATGAAACAGCAGAGGAATTCCTCCCAATTAAAAGAACAACAGAAATCTCCAAAA